CGGATTCCCTGCCGCCCGGCACTGGTCCCAGTCCTGCAACAGAGGGGCACGGCACTGGCTAGCAGAGGCACCGACGACGGGGGTGGCGAGAGCAGTCCACTAGCTGCCTAAGTTTTAGAAGCACGGGACTTAAATGCTACGACAGAACTAGCGCAGCAGAGGGGGCAGGCGACAGCACAGTCAAAACTGTCCTCAGCCAGTGGTCATCTAAGACAAGCTGGGGGTCTGCCAACTTTTGCCTCTGCCGCAAGGGTGCCCAAGAGAAAGTGCATGGCAGGAATGCCAAGCAGCACCATGTCGGCAACCAAGAGGAAGGCCGCCCCCAAGGGAAGTCGACCGGTGTGCCGAACGGAGGGCTGCTCGGGTGCTGTCGGCGTTCTCGCCGGTCACAGGTCCGCGTGTGGCTAAGACTCCGTGCAGCCTCCCCAGTGCCGACTGGAACCCCCCTCAGGGATAGGACAGGCACCTGGGCTCACCTGGGGAAAATGGCAACCCACACAGGTGTTTGGAAAAGGAAAGGAAAGGTTACTGCCTCCTCCCCACCCCCACGGGAGCAGCGATCCTACTCTGAAAAGTTCTTCTAAGAAATCTACAGGGTTGTTCCATCCCCTCCTAAAAAATCCATGGGTTCAAGATAAAGCAACAGAGTTTGGGGTAACAGAAACATGAGCATGAGCATCGGAATACAATCCGCTGCAAAGCTCTTCCCCGGGAGCCACTGACCGGAAGGGGTTCGGGGCAGGTTCCGCCTGTTTCAAAAAAGCACCGGAAGGTCCAAGTGGACTGCGCTGGCAAGCCCGCAACTCCCGCAACTCCGTTGGAAAGCTTTCCAGTTATTCATCTAAATACCGAGTGGTTATTCATCTAAATACCGAGTAGCAAAAGGCACTCACGGGGCCCTTCCCTGAGGGTTTCTGCATAAAGCCTCTTTAAGCAGCAGATGCATTCACCTCCAAGTCTATTCCACCCTAATAAAAGCTTTTAGTCTCTGTATTTTTAGCAGTTTCTTTCTAATCTGCAAAGGGTTTCCCCCCTAAAGCTATGAATCACGCTGCCAGTTGCTCTGCACCTTTCCAGTGCTCCTCTGAATGAAAGAAAGGAAGGGAAAAAAACTGGAAACAGCTAAAGGTTTTCAAGAATAGCCTCAGGGCCCAAACAGATGTCATGAGCCACTTCCTACAAATTAGAAAAGGAAAGTAGCGCCTACGGTTAATTACCAAGAGAAGGCCACACACATACCAAGCCAGAGGAGCGTCTGAGGCAGGAAAACGAGGGCCTGGCCTTGCGCTTGCCAGGGCAACGCATGTGGCTCTCCTTGCAGCGAGACGCCCGCTGACCAGCCCGGCTGGGCTGAGCTGCTCCTACCTCTAATCGCAGAAGAGTTTGCTCATCCGGCAGACACCTGCTCATGCCATCTCGCCTGCCTTCTCAGTCCTGCCCGGGCCCCTGCTTTACCCTCCCCACCTGGCGTGATTCTGCCAAGCAGCTCGAGGACACTGCTTCGCACGGGCACAGAACAAGGCAAAGGAGGCAACCAAGCCCCAACTTCCCCCATCAGCTCAGTAAAATCGGAGATTCAGTCCTGTTTTAGTTCCCTGGGAGTTTAAATGGTGGGCAAATCCAAAACATGGGACAGGCAGAGTAGACTGACTAGGTGAAACACACAAATTTCCCTCAGATTGCAAACAAATAAGATGATCCTTTCCTCCCCCCCCCCCCGCCCCACCAAAAAAAAGCATGCACGAGGGATTCCATCCAGAGATGGATTGCTCTGCTTTCTTTCCTTGGCTGCTGCTTCTTTGGCTCGCTTCCCCAGGCCTGGAGAAGTCCACTGTCTTCTGACCACACACAGTCTCTCCACAGTTACCTAACCCAGTAGTTAGGCTGCCCAAAGTAAAAATATCTGACAGTGGGATGCATTTTTCTCCTATCACAAAAGCCGTATCTTTGCTGAGGGCAGATATAGGCTGCAGAGAGACCTCCATGTGCCTTCCCGGTGCTCCAAGGCCTTGGTTGCCTCATCGGCAATCCCAGGCATGTGTAGACAGAACAAAGCATCCAGTTCCCAGCATTCCCCAGCTGGCAGCATCGGCTGGGGAACGCCAGGAGTTGGGCGACTTGCTTCTCCTAAGCACACACGGGATGCGCTCCAAGCCCCGTCCCACTGGGGCTACCGGGACTGGCTCGGCCCCCACGTTCCCCACAGACTCCCAGCGCAACCGCTGCAGCGCACGGCACGGCTCGTCTTCCGCCCCGTCGCATCGCCCCGTGCCGTCATGCTGGAATTTTTGTGACCGGCTTGCTTCCAACCGTCTCCTTCTTGTGTGTCACTTGTGGCACACGCCATTGCGTGTGTGACCCTGGTCTTGTGTTCCCTACAAGGGGGCAGAGAGGAAGTGTCCCACGGGCTGAAGCTCTACGCATCAGGGCGCCGACCCAGAGTCCCTTCCCTTCCACCCCCGCCCTTGCCCCCAACCACCCCACTTTGCTCTCTGACTCGCAATGCCACTCCCCTAACCTGAACCCTGGCGCCTTCCCAAGTCTCTTGCCCTGCTGCTTCGGAGACCACTAGCCAAAAGGCCTGTTTCCCGGCCATGATCTCATTCTCTTCAGCGGCCTTCCTCAGCATCACACCCCCACGGACTTCGATGGAGCGCCTGCGTGGGACACTCCCCTGAGGAAGTCCGTCCAGTCTTCACGCAGGCCTGAGGCAACGAGGCCACCCGTGCGGGGCAGCGAGCACGCCCACAACACAATCCCCAGAAGGCCCACAGACGGCGGCACTTGGTCCTTCGTGTCTTCTGGGAGGGTTCCACAATTCCTCTTTCCAACCACCTGTGTGCCTCAGAGCGCGCACTGATAAGGTTGCTTTAAAAAAGCCAGAGTTACAAATTGGACGCTTAAAAAGGATTCGCCTCATGTACAGCGTGAGTTATCAGTCCTTTGCTTGCCCAGTGGTAATCAAGCCCGGTCCGGATCCGTTTCAGAGGATGGACCCAGCCGCCAGACAAAAGGACCTCTATTCCTGTTGCTCGTTACAATAAAACCCAATTCCCTGGGAAGGGCGAGGCGGAGCCGGGCGCGAGTCCTATCGAGTGTCCCTGACTCTCGGCAGAGATACGGGCCTGTTTTCAGACAAGAGAGTCAGTCTTTGGAGAACATAATCGGAGCGGCCACAATGGCTCATGCAGAATTAGCTGCTCCAGTTACCTGATGGGACGGGCTCCCTTTATCAGGATGCTGGGTTTTATTGATTCAAATTGCAGAGAATTTGCAGAGAATACAAAATGCATTATCTTCAAAGAGTAGGAAACAAGGAAAGGGAGGTTGGGTTTCTCTGGTGCACATTAAGTCTGCACATTTCTGCTCATTACTATGGGAAAAACACCCGAGCCATTCGCTGCTGTGTTGCTTGTGTCTCCCAGCTCTCTCCCTCTCGTCTTCGCATTTCTGTCGTGCAGGACCCATGTCGACTGCGGCAGGCCCTCCTGGGCAAAGAGGATGATGGTTGCTTTGCATCGGCCTGTCAGCACAGATTTATTTTATTTTTTATTTTATTTTTTTGGCCGTGCTCTGATTTGCAGGCTGAACACCAATTTCCAGCTACAGCTGCATGGTAACATAACCAACGGAAACCTTTGCTAGAATCTGGCTGGCCACCAGATCTTGCCACTTCTCCAGCTTCAGAGTCACCTGTGTTATTGGGAGTATTGACTGAAGCCGAAAAATTACACCGGCCTACCATTTATGTTTGCAAGTATTTGATATTACTGATAAATACAGCGTTGACTTGTGAATAAACAGGATGAGGATGGAAAAACGAAGCGGGGCATTCCGTATTGCCCACCCAGGGGCTCGTCTCCATTACACCAAGGTTTCCCTTCCGCCATTCTACCTTGGCCTGGGTCAGGATGGACGGTGCCAGTCAGGCTGCACAACCGCACGACCGGGCCTTCCTGCGAGGCCGCTTAATTCATCCCCCCCACACACACACACAGACACACGTGTGGACACTGGGACAGCCTCAGGGAAAGGAGGCCTGCAACGGGGTGAGCACGTGAAGCGGCTACTCAGTCCAAGAAAGGAGCCGCTTACAAGACCGCCGGCAGAGAGTTCGGCTCCATTCCTACGCTGGGCTCTGACTTGAACCGTGTCTTTCACATCCTGGTCCAGCATGAGTTTCTGTCCACAAGAGAAATGTCAATTCATTTTTTTACACTGCAGAAGGCTTTCTCGCAGCTAAAACAGAGCTCCAGGCTAGTTCTACCATTTTATAGCGGCTTGGCAGCGGTGTGCTAATATTCTGTGTTTAACGAGCAGCAGGATTTCTGAAACGGAATGTAAGGAGACTCTGGAGCCCAAAAGGGTGCTATTTTCCCCATTGCAACAGGAGGCCATATAACAAATTACCACTTCCACACGGAAGAACGGCCAACAGATTCTCCTCTATCACGAAACACCGCAAGGCATGCTATGAACACCGACCGGACAACCAGCGGCTGCAGCTACGGTCCAAGCACACCGGAGTCCATCTGCTTCTCCAGCCACTGCACGTCCCGAGAAGCCCACCCCCCACTCCAAGGGTGGCCCCTTTGCACAGGCTCACAGCTTGTGCCGTTTGTGGAAGCCCGGAGACAAGTGGCAGTGAGCCGGCAGCTCCTCGGAAGGCCTGCGGCTCCTGCTTCGCCTCCCTTGGATTACCCTCCCGCCCACATCCTTCGGTCCTATTTGTCCTCCAGTCTGCAGCCAGTCCTCCAAAATATCGGCTAATCTTCTGCAGCACTTTCTAAACAAGTTTCTAATTTTAAAAGATAACGCAGTAAGTTCAGCTTGTGGGGGGCCAAACAGCCCTGATGTTTTACAAGCTGGCAGCTTCTCTGGCGTGCTGTCCCGGAACTCCTCACTCTATCTAAGAGACAGCTTGGACGTATTTACATTTCCATCCTTCCCAAGAAAGCACATTATGTATCCCTGACATCTAAATTAGTGCTGATACTCACTCTGAGCCATGGCCTTTATCTTGCTATGGTTTGCTTGATAGCTAAACTATGCAAAGTAGACTTGCTGGAATCCAAGCAATGACGAAGTTATCAGGCACAAGAGAGGACGAGGCTCAGGAACTCACTGGGAGCCTTTGGAGGCTGGCTGAGATTAAGCAGGGTCCAGGGAGGCCGCAGGAATGCCAGCAATTCAGGGGCTGCGCACATGGGCCACGCAGGGCAACCACCTCCAAGGAGCGCTGAGCTCTTGAGACGAGGTGCTCTACGTGGCGCTCCCTTCCGCAGGCTGGAGCGAGTTTCCTTTATGTTGCCGTATGGCGAACAAGGAGAGACACACAGGACGGATTCCAGGAAGGCCACACCTGGTGATTCACTGGCCAACCGTGGGGCACAGAATGATCCGCATCAGCAGAGGTGTCACAGAGTGAGGGCTTGTGCAACAAGTTCCATCTGGCATCACGGACCTGTGAGCACACAGACATGCATGCATGCATGCGCCAGCAGACGTGGGACTTCCTCCTTCCCAGCAAATCAAGGGGGTGCAGGGTCAGGAGACGGGAAAGGGACTGGCAATGCCCTAACGCCAGCACCTCCAAATCTTCGGAACCGCAGAGCTTCCAGAGGCGGCCAGGATCCGGCCACCGTGTTTGCGTTGTCCTGGCACATGACGCTCACCCGCACTTAAAAGGGAGCTGTTCAACATGCTGCAGGCCCCCTTCCCACATGCCCCTCACAGAATGCCATGTGCTGGCCGCTCCAGCGGAATCGAGCGGCGGTTTAGCACAGCTTCTGCAAAAGGCACTTAGCCTCAAGCTCACGTGCTCCTCCCTACTCTCTTCGGCCGGCACATGCCGCAGGAGGAGTTTGGGAGTGCCCCCTTCCAGTTTTAGACTGCACGGAGGAGTTCCCATTACACCTGAATTTGGGAGGCAGCCAAGGAGACATGAGGTCCTGGGTAAAAACAGGAAAAAGGATGGGAGGAGAAGGGACACTCATTTCCCAAATTTTCCCAAGTATCACTAAGGCACAGGGGAAAAAATTAAAGAATATTTGTGCCCCCACTTTTCTGGGTCTCCAAAATTTTCACTTCAATAGCTTAGGTTAGGTTAAACTCTGGTTACAAAACAAGCTAGGGTCATAAACTACAGTCTGATCCAAGCTTGGCTTATTTTTACTTAACTAGACGTGAAACTAACCGGAGTGCCGGGTAAAACCGGGGTCTTTGCTCCTCTCACACACAGGGGAGGGGGAGGCGGGAGCCACCCCGCAAGCCAGCCTGTGGATCAGCCACCACGTTCCTTTCTCTGAACTGGATAAAGCTCTGGCTGTTTGGTGCATGTCTCGTTCCCCCCGGATAACGGGATACACAAACGGCGAGGAACATTCCATCGGTGAAGGAAGCTAAAGGAAATCCGCCCCTTTCCAGCCCAGGTCTGTGAGGACCAATTCGAGCCAGATAGACGTGTCAACATGCCTTTTCCAAGAGGTAATGACTCTGATAAAATGCACATAGTTCCATACGTAGGAAGAGAGAAAGAACGCGGCCTGTGATTAACAGCCACGGTATGTGATTAACAGCCACGAGCAAAGACATTTCTGGTTCAGACTCCAAGCCACACGGGAAACTGAGAATGGTGCGAAGAATAAACTCCAGCTCTGTCGGGAAGAGGGATGCCACTTCTGTGAAACAGAGGATCCAAGCCACTATTTTTCAGTATTCAGACGCACATGCAAATACTGCTCCACCTCTATTTTTGATAACTGCTAACCGATTGTGCCTGCCTCATCTTTTATTAAGTGCTGCTTAATCATCTGCTGCTGCCGGTTCCTAATCGCGCGAGAATCGCCGGCAGAACAGCGTATTGTGAAGCGGCCTGAATGGAAGCGTGTGGAAGACGGGGCCCAGCGGCCTCGTTAAGGCACAGACCCAAAGCTACCTGCACGGCCACACAGGGCCAGAGAGCTGCCATGGCGCCCGGAGCCGTTCCGGATGCAATTCCTGTCAGGCCCTTTCCCCACAGACAGCCTCAACAGTCCCCAGCCCGACAGATAGGGCAGGGGGCTCGTAAGCAGGGGCAACACCACGCGGGCACGCCCAGGAGCTGGGGCAGGGAGAGTCAGCCCCAACCCTGGCCCTGGGCAGCCTGAAATCAGACACCCACAGTGCAGGCATCTAAAACTGCAGCACAAAAATTGCCGGGAGAAGGCAAAATGGCCACTCAGAAGCGCTCCTTCTGGTCCACACTCCACGGGGAATCCAGGCACTCAAAGAGCGCGCGTAGAAGAAGAGATCCGCACAGCCGTCAACAGCCACGCTAACGATTAAAGTCAGGCACAACCTTTGCAGAGCCATCCCAAAAAGCAGCAGCTCAGAACAAATTTCCAAATTTCCCTTTGGCATCCAGGATCGCTTGCTTCTGAAGCCGCCAGAGCAGCAGCTCAGAACAAATTTCCAAACTATCCATATTTCATAAGCAGGAGGCAGGACTGGATTTTCTGGGAAAAGGAATGGAAAAGACTGCACACATCTGCAACCCATCTCTCCCCGTATGATGGTTGGGGATAATATCCCTTCAGGAGGCAGCTGAAACTTTTTTTGCAAAACCTCCTATCACACACAGAGGCATCTGCCTAATTCACACAAAGCCAGACACCCAAAAGCCCTTGCAGAAACACCGGCTCCCTCACACAGGAAAACCCAAAAGGCTCTGCTCTCTCCTTTGCTCCCGGGAAACGCTCTGCAGTTCACCGAGCCCCCGTGGGCAGGCGCACTGCTGCATCTGGCCGCAGCAGGCACCGCGAGCGGCACGGGGACTCACAGGGGAAGGCCGGCGCACCTGTCACTTCGTTGCGCTGTTTCACTCTGGGGCAGGCCTGGTGCGCAGCGCAAGGCCCCCTCTGGGAGCCCGGGCAGGAGGGGAGGCGGCACAGCGGGGCGGCGAGTCTGGCCCTGCTCCGCGAAGCTCCCCCCGGCAGCCTGGCCGGAAGCCCAGGCCCAAGAGGCGCCCCCGGAGAGAGGCAAGGGAGGAGGCTCAGGCCACAGGGTCCTGGGGCGCTCCACAGAGCCCCTCCCTCCCTCCCGCCTCGGGGCCCCATGAGTGGTGCGCTTGGGGCGCTCCCGGAGGGCTGACCCAGCTCGCCACTGAACCAGGGGCGGCCACGACCACCCGACCCAGCCCTTCCCTCCTCAGAACAGCACGATGCAAGGCCTGCCCAGAAGCCCGGCCCGGTGGCCCACCCGGCGGTGCTGAAGCCCTTCTCCAGCACCGCCGGCCCACCCAAGTCGCCATGCCGGGCATGCAAGGAAACAACCAAGCCCCTTTTCCTAGACTATCTGAGCCACAGGTGAAAGCGAGCTTTCTGCGCGCCCAGGCACACCTGTCTGCAAAGCTCAGCTACATGCTCTGGGAGAAATGCACAGAGGTGCCACCTAAAGATAAGTGTTGGGCAGAGTCATCATTTTCGCAGTGAAGAAGTGAAGGAGCCAAAACCTCATGATTTATTCCAAGCCCTGAAATGTGCACAGCACAGAGTTATAGACATGCATTGCATTCCTATGTACATCTAGTCAGAAAATCAGTGCTACTGAGCCCAGGTAAGAATTTCACGAGCTTTTAATTATGGTACAAGTAAGCATTTCTGTATCGATATCCCAAGAAAACCTTCTTTCAGATCTTCTATCTTTTTATTTTGGGCTAAGGAAGGTGAGTTTTCAGAAATTTACTGATGCCCAGATTGCTTTCTTCTCGCAGAACAAACCGTTATGTCTTTGAACTTGCTTCATGCACATTTATGGTTTGATTCAGTAATTTCTGGGCTTGTTCATCCCCTGATTTGTCCAGGTGGATGCTAAAATGAGACATTTATCTCCCAGAATCAATTTAAATGAATATCATACTCATGTTAAAGGGAACTCATGGGTAAGATTATTTGGAAAATATGCATTCACTTTTGAGCTGGGCTCATCTGAGGCTCCTTTGTTATGAAAAAGCACAAGTGGCTTTTAAGTGCTCAGCCCCTGTTCCTGCATGGCTCTAAGTCTTGCCAAGGACGCAAGGATGCAGGCTGGCAGGAGGGGGAAGGCAGAAGCAAGTGCTGGACCTGGTAGGAACCACTCCTTAAGCCAGAATACTTCATCAGGAATTTGGTTCTTGGATTTCTCCAGCATCTGACTGGCCACACAGTTGAACTCGCCTTCAGTTAATAAATTCTTCACCAAAACCTTGGACAGTTTGCAAGATAAACCTGATGAGATGCTTAGCTATTGCAAGACACCAGCTGCCAGGACACTGGGTCCCCTTTAAAAGCAGGTTTGATAGGCCCCGAGTAGTTTAGGCTGGGAGATACGGCCATATATATGTTGCATGCACAGAAATAATCTCTAAAAATGATTGCCAACTACCTGTAAGTCCCGGAAGGAGGGGGAGATGTGTCAGTCCTGCCACCGGGTCGCTGGGCGGGGGCAAACATTGGCATCTGTGGAGCACACACGCATATCACTGTGGTGGCTTATCACTCAGTTGGCCTCTGAGTGTGTGGCACCCCAAACACATCCAAGCGACACACCAACCTGCTCCGGGAAGAAACTCACATGCAAGCCAGAGGGCCTGCTGACAGCCATGCCCGCAATCCTGGCAGCCTGGTCGTTTGAGCCACCAAAATTGCAGAACTGGCTTCTGGGGAGCTGCAATATCATCAAACTTTCTGCACCTCCTTTCTGCCCTCCCTAGTTTAGGTCTCTGGCTAATGTCAGGGGAAAGTAGAGCAGGAGAAGGAAGGATGGAAGGACAGACAGAGAAGGGGTGCCCTGATCCCCCCACCCCTAACAACCCCCCCAAAGAATGCGCTCTTATAGCGAAAAGTTTCCTCGTCCCCATTTAAGTGAAGCCCAAGTGTGCAGAGAGGTCTGATTAGCGGAAGGGCAGAAGCGCCGGAGGAATTGTGCAGAACCCAGGCTTGTGCAGGAGGGCCCATCCCACATTTCTGCGGCTGACGGGGATCGCTTCCGCCACGCCTCCGGGCTGCAAGGGGCGCCCGGAGGCAGAGCTCCCTCTGCCCGTTTCCGGGCTTCATTTTCCTGGCCTGTTTCTGCTCGGTGGGATGGCAGTGGTGGCGGCAGCGGCCGCAGCCCTCATGCCTGAATTCTTTTCTCATTAGTCAGGTGACCTTTGTGTTGATTTAACTTTCTTTACGGTCTCCCCAGACTGATATTTCCAACACAGGCCCCATTCACGGTTAATCTAAGCCTCTGTTTAACTTGTCAGGGCTTCTCGTAAATCCAGACAGCCTGAGCAGTGTCTCAGCAGCACGGTGCTCTTGTTTAAAGTTACTTCTCTTTGGCACCGAACCCTGCTCTCCAAACAAACTCCATGAATGCACACTCGGTGCACATTCAAATGTTTCCCGCAACTTATCCAGCAGCAAAAGGTCCGTGTCACCGGCATCTGAAGCC